TCAATTCTTTTTACCAATCTACTGCGAAACTGGGGCGACTCCCTCTCTTTTAGGCTTAGTTTATATTTCCTTAACTTTTAAACGCCTATGAGAACCAGTCCCTAGTCACAAGAGCGAGACACTATGGTATGTCAAAAAGTTCCTGACTTACCACTGACACGACCTAGATTTCAAGCGACAATATGCTTTCCAATCTTTTGAGTACCTTTCTTGGAGGCAAGTAAAACTTCAACTCCTATAAATTGCAATTCCACCTCACCAAGAGTTCGTTGATACACTTGATCCAATCAAGTGAACTCCTAGACTATTCACAAATATTTCATCCCCCGGAGGGATCAACACGCTGTGCCAATTTGTAATATACTGACTTTCCAAAAGCGTTGGGGTTCCAATGAAGTGGATATTACGCTCACAGATTTTCGAGACATGCGTTTGCCAATATCCAGTCTTCAATGTTACGAAATCTGATTTGTTGGGATTCTCGATCAAAGTCCACAATTCAACCTTATTCTTCCAAGGGTAAAGTAGTTACTCTAGCATGCAGGAATTCACTTGCTTAAGTTGCAAATCTCTTGGCATGGGAAACATCAGTACCAGGCAAAATTACATGAACACAACACAGAATGGACAATCAATCAAAATATCATCAAGCATTGAACAAATATTGCCAAAAAGATGAGATCTAATATTATCAAGCACACACTCAAGCGTTTCCCCTTGCATCTCACAAGAGTAAAACGAGTTAGATTTTAGCATCAGGAAGTCAACGAAGAATATTCGTTCAGGTCACACTCAAGAAAAAGCAGCCGTTATTGAAGAGAACACACAGATGCTTCTCAGCTTTTTTTGCTTCTGAATACACCTGTCCTGGTAGGATCAATACTGCAGCTAGCAAATCATCATGAGAGATGAGTGGCGGGGCACATGCCACTCCTCTCCATCAAATTTAGACCATCCATTTCCTTACATGAACACAACATTCTTCTCATGGAGTGAGAATGAAATCCTGGCATCGTTCAAAGTATTTGTTGTACATCGTTGTTTGTGAACTTAACAAAACCACCACAAGGCAGACAAGGCTTGCAAATCACAAAGCGTTTCCTACAGAGGCAACTCCATTATTTGGTATGAAAGCAGGCCAAGAGGGCTGGCCCTGACCGTGTCCGAAAACAAATCAATGCATTTTCGCTTTTAATCGATGCAGAGGCAACATCAGCTATAGTCTTCTGCGTCACTCATAGTTAAAGACAGTCATACGGTACACCAAAAAGAATTGGGGTTGAAGACCCCCTGAACACATTTTGTGGTGCACCAGAAAATAAAGTTCTCTCTCTACCCGTTTTCCGAATTTTCTGCTATCCAGGGTCACCCTAGCTATTTTGGCGTCCTGTGCAAGGTTCCCAACGCCCCGCCCCCCACCCCCTCCCTCTCCTCAGAAGGGAGAAAGGTCAATCCAAAAAGGTTTCGGCGTCAAAAAAGACGCCGAAACCGAATGCGTTTCCACTTTCTGAAGTAAAACTGAGGGTGGCATCAATTATTGCTTCATTCATTCTGGCACATTTTGATTGGCGCCTCAGGTGAATTTGGGCCCTGTGTACATGTGGCACATGCCCAAGGCCGGCCCTGCTGCTATCCCATAAAAAAAAAACAATGTCCCTCCTTTTCATGCCAATTACTTGAAATTACGAGCTGCAATCACGGAGAATTCTATAACATTTCACCGTCTTCGATTCATTGTAATTACACGAGGACTCTAGGAAGAGTCTCGACAGGCAGAGAGAAGAGATCCGCCCTACCTTCTTCAATGAATTTTTTTTTGCTTTAATGGCGTACAATATTCACATGGGGTTCTTAACGATCGCTCCGTTCCATCACCTTCCCAATTAATCATTCAGAGTCTTCAATATGCATATGAATTCCTCGTTTAAGGTGCTTTATATTCGTAAAGGTCCCTGTATGAGGGCCAGAACCGGTCGCATTGTCCCGTTCCTATGATCTGACTGACACCTTTGTGGCCGGCCTGAACATAACAACATCGAGTCTCTTCTTCACCGTGAAGCTACAGATTAGCTTGACCATCAGCTCACATTATCAAGAACATTGAAAATCGCAAGATGATCTCAGTTAAATAGGTCTAAGACTGGTTCTGACGCTCTATTGGCTCACTGAGCGAGCTATGACCAACCCCAAGTGGCCTTCTCGCCATTCGGAGGGGATGCGATTCAGCCGCTATGTTGAGGCTGTTTAAAGTATGGCATTTGGAACATTGTTTCTAGGATGGATTACTTGGAAAGAGATTCCAAGGTGCTGCCATCGCCTAACGATAGCTCGTGCAGCTCGTCACGAACAGAATCAAACAGAGAATATACATCACGATACGGAACGACCGTTATTTCGTCCTTGTGAACTGAGTATAAGACACCATTGTAGAGCCCTCCTATTCGCGGATTACGTAACATTTTGCAAACGATATTAAATCTTTTTTAGCAACCCTGCTCTCAAGTAAAAAACATGACATCCTTCGTCATCTTCTCGATCTCAAGGTGATGGCAGAGGAATCGAGGAACGTGTAGACGGAGGGGCAAACGGAGATGAAAGGGCTTGGGATAGAAGCAAACGTACGCTCGTGCACAAAGGGGCCAAGACCGACAACCAAATATGGCCAGAAAAGGGATTCCAAGGACAGTACGTGACATACAGATTCTCATCTAGAATAGATCATCTCACGTAAATTCGGAATACGGGTAGCGAGACAGCATTAACTCTGTGGTTGTCTGACATAAGGTGAACAAGGTTCCCATTGATGCCTGCATTCAGGTTTTGCTGCACAAATAACGTTACCCTCCTCCAAGCTCCCTGTGCTTTTTAGGCAGGGTAATATCGTTATCCCCTGCATTTACTTGCTTCTATAGCACTCATCTCCCAGACTACTGACGCGGCTATTTACAAGGCTATAGCCCTTACTCCATTGCCTGACTGCCTCTTAAAAGAGTCCCGTACACTATGGTGGTCATCATGCCAATAATTGTTTCCTTCCACAGTTCAGACGCAGGTCTGCACTGACCATCGTTGCTTTTACAGTCACGAAGATCCTTTTACTAGAAATGGGGCTGGAAAAATAAAAACCGAAGCACAAACGTCAGAGGCGTAGTCAGGATTTCAACAAGGGGGGGGTTAGAATTTCCCTAAATTCTCCTGGGGGACGGGGGGGAATGGCGGATTCATTTCGACCAGAGTTGGGGGGGGGGGGGGGGGGGGGAAAACCCCCCCCCGTTCCCCCCCAGGGGGGGGGGGGGGGGGGGGGGGGGGGGGGGGGGGCTGAAAAGCTCCCCCAGTTCCCCCCTCGCTACGCCGCTGACAAACGTGAAAAACGAACATGAACCTCAATGGATAGAGAAAACGTTAACAAAATGCAACCTTCGGATGAACTGTTTTTCACTGCACTTCATAGAAGAGCAAGCCAAAAATGCTGGCAATGGTCAAGAGGCACGAAGTGCAACAGAAGGGGCCACTATGAAAACAAACCAAACTAGGGTCTAAATAATTGAGCGATACAATGAAAACGGCAGGATGAGTGAGTAGGAGGATACTGCAACCGTTTTAGCAAGTTTGTTGGTTGCATGATATGCATACAAGGCGATGGTAGTGCCCTCATTCCCAGTTGATTATGCCCCAGAGTACAAGTAGCACATGTACCCACTACCTCAAACCGAAGTTTCTGTCCACGCCATCAAAATAACAACCTGTGCCCTGTACAACCATTACTAGTGAGCACCATATATGACACATGCAAAAGAAGGGAATGGATGTGCAGATAGATGGATTTAGTATGTCAAAATTATAAAATTTCTGATTTTTTGGGGTATTTGAAAGTTTCAAACATTGGTAATCCTGCAGAAACTGACAAATGATTCCCTTAGACATCTAGATATCTAAGTGATTGAAGAAGAATCAATATTTTCTCATGGAAAGGAGGCTAACTACAAAACAACTGGAAGAGAAATCCTGTTACTTGAAATGAAAAAAAGAAGCAAAATTGTATGCCCAAGCAATGAGAATTCTTAGCAAATACATTACATTTACTTTGAGATATTCAATGAGAAACTATAACATTGAGATGTGCAATGAAATCAAATGCTTACAGGTGAATATTCCACTATTGGATTCCAGAATTGCTTACCAATAGGGCATTCAGCACCAAAAGGTTTAATACCAGATTTGTGCACAATCGGCAGTGCAAATACTATTAAATTTAGGGTTACTTATATCTCATGAAGGAGTTTGACATTTCTAAATTATTACAATCTTTTTTCTTGTTGGTGTCATTGAAATTATTCATAATGTCAGACAACCACAGAGTTATTTTCAGCCAGGTCAGTCAAGTGCAATAAAATTGATAGGTAAAGCTAAGTGAAGCTTGCCTCACAACACAGGAGGCATGCCCAAGAGACATATGCAATGTCATGGATTAGTGAGTCACCTCAGATATGAATTTCTAAGTCCTCCACAGCAAGAATGAAAATTTCCAATAGATGCATTCAGCATACATGTGCTGTAGTTCAGGATCCAAACATTTTTGTGGCAAATGCCCTAAACAGTATGGCCGCACAAAAAATATCAAATTTCCATACATAAAGATGAAACGAACAGCATACAAATAAAAAGTGGCATATTTCACAGTTCCAAAAAAGACAAAATTCTGAGGAAGCCAAAAGGGTGTAAATCATCATTATCATAAAATCTACAACTTATGAGACTGATGTATTGTATAGAAAGGTTCAAGAGGGACATAAAACTCAAAGTGAATGGATGATAACCTTAGTATCATGATTAAAAAAAAATTATTGTATTGACTAGCCTCCCATCACTGTAGTTATGCTTACAAACAAGGTACTCAAAGCATAGTCAGTGGAAATGCAAGGTGAGGAATCTATTAAATAGCTTGAACTCATCTCACATTTGGATGAGATGGGACGGTTCCATGCATATTCCAAAGTCTTTCAGAAGGGGGCAATGTATGCATTTGCTTCCAGTTGATTCAAATAGCTAGGGTTGTAGTTTTCTACCCGTCCCTTGAGCACCTTGGGACCCAGGAACTGACTCAGCTGTTGGAGGCAGTGGCTTGCTGCACTACATGCCAGAGCATTTTCACATCCCTAACACAAATAAAATACAGGCAGTGAGAAATTAAGAGTCAGAAAAATATACATGTATGCAATGAGAAATGGCTCTTTCTCTGAAACTGGTCTTGGCCAGCATCCCTGTCTACACTTAATCTGTTTAAGATGATAACAGTCATGATGTGCATTAGTTCTGATGGTTACAGGAGTTGTTTTTAGAAACTGGACACTCCATTAATTGTGGCAGTAGGCAGGTATGCCATAAGGCAAAATACTCATATAACTACTTCCAAGGTAGCAGTGCTAATATTCACTTCCAATTAGCATTCAAATTAACCAGACACAAACAGACCAACAGACAGACATACAATTCACTAGCTAAACTGGCTCTGTCTTTTTCTATTCTTTTTTTTCCAGAAGCAGTATTGAAAATGGCTTAGCAGGAGATAACTTTGGGCTTTGGACATAAACATATTGAAGGCTGAAGACTGACCAGGGCATAGAAGATAGGATCAAAGAAGAGTTCAAGGTGAGATTTGAAGACCTTCTTGCCAAGTCCTTGGGCAATGCCAGGAAGGCGTTTGCAAAGGGTTTCCAGAAAACATATATGATGAGCATAGTGATGATGCTGTGCAGCTTCTGCCAGCAAAGGAAGAACTGTGGGTAGGGATCCTGTTGCTTCAGAAATCTGACTCAACTCTCCAAGCAGATGTACACACCTTCATATTTCACCAGTATGGATATTTCAGTAGATGCAAAAATGATGGAGACCAAGACTCAATATTTTGACATACCCATCAGCCATTTCCCAAGGTTGGGGAGGTCTTCTGAGGTTTCTATCAAGGCCACCAATGCAGTCTCCTCCACGTCCCATATTTGGGGCCAGGGAACCACAGGAATACATCTAGAAAGTGCAAGATGATGCTTAATACCGATAATATCTGATTGGAAAGAAAGTTCTTGGAATTTCATGAACAATTATTACAACCCAGTTTATTTAAAAGCAAAATCATCTCAATCATGAATGTAATCACCATTGGCCTCTATCACTTCACGCCAACGTTTATGCAAACTATGGATGCCATTCCAATAGAACTCTGGCGGCTGCGCTACGAAAAAGTTGGCCAAAT